CCGATGACCTAGGACCTTAAAATTGGGTATAATCGGCTTCCTTTTATCACGGGCAACACGGTCGTTTTTTCCGCGAAGCTCTAGCTCGATCAGGGGCGAAACGGCAAGGGGGAGGGTCCAACGGACCCCCCCCCCCCCCCCTATACGCTCGCTACTGGAAACACCAATACGGGCGAGGGTTAATGGATTATTAAAGACAATTTTCCAGGTTGCCCCCCCAGTCAAATTCCCTTAAAATAGGCTCTGAGTTATGGCTGCTATTTGGGATCTTGTGTGATAAAAACAGTGTATTACCTAGGTATACAGTGCCCAACATTACTGGTTTCTATAACTACAAGATCCTGATTGCTGAAGTATACCTTCAATAGAAGTCAAATTGTGAAAGCTGATGCATACTTCGATGAATTGCTTTGTTCCTGTAGATCTCTATGGACACTTATGTAATCTTTTGGCCCAGTTATGTCATTAATCTTTATTGATTGACATCAGAGTGAGATCTACCAGTACCCCATCACCATCCAGTCAGTCCATTGCGGGCCTTTCATCGATGGCTGGCTGGCCATCTCGCTCTCCCGGTCTATCCTTCCACCGGCCGGCGGTGCGACCCGCCCGGTCGGCCGTCTCCGCTCAGCTGATCGACCGTCCGCCGGCCCGGCCCGGTCCAGCCCGGCAGATCGGCCCACCGCTCCCGTCTGAGATTGGTGGATGCGTCTCTAACAGAGTGCTGGCGATCGTGTCGGCGTGGCCCACAGAGCACAGTGTGGGTGAAGTCTGTTGTAGGTGGACGGATCAGACTGTCTGTGCCGCCGCTGGAGACTGATTAAGCCGTCTGTCCGGTCTGGAGGTCCGACTCCGGTCAGCCGGTGCGTGCCGTCCGGCGGCGGTGGCGGTGCTCCGGCCCGCCGCGCCGGTCCGGCGGTCTGAATCACCGTCAGCGGCCTGCGAGCCGCCGACAGTGCCGCCAGTGCCGCCGATCCGTTACCGCGGCCCGGGAAGCGGCCGCGCGCCAGCCGGGAGGAGGAGAGCGGGCGCCTCGTCTGGCGTCACCAGAGGTGGTGACCCGCCGGCCGCCGCAGCAGACCGTTTGACCTCGTGCGACCCCGCGACCCCTGCCCAAGGCCTCAGCAGAGTGCCTGACGTTCCTAGTAGTGCCAGCTCTGCTGTGGCCTATCTGGGCGCTGGCCGAGACGTGCCGTTCCCACGCGCGGGCTGGATCCCACAGCCCTGGGTGATGAGTAGCTCGCCGATATACACCGCAGCCAGTCAAAGTAGCCCTGCTGCCATCGCTCTCTAGTCGTAGCTATGGTTTTCACAGCTGTGGTTCTCTGGGAGTTCATCCTTGAGTAGGGGCCACAGCTCACTCCCAGCTCAGCTCAGCAGCTCGGTACAGGACCCTGGCCGTGCCCCGTCCCCGGGCCCCAGCCGTACCCCGCCGGTCTTTGCCCCTGCTGCGCCGGCCGTGACGTCAGCACCGTATCGGAGCGCGGCCACGGCCGCCCTTGACCGCCGCCGGCGCGTCGGCCGGTGCCAATGAACGTCAGGCCGCCTCCCGGGCCGGCTGGTGTCGCCTGTGTGAGCGACCAGGAAAAGCGGCCAGCACCGGCCGGCGGAGACGACGGGAGCACCGTCCCGGGCACTGGCATTGTGTACGGATAACACGACCAGACGACGCAAGGCACGGCTGACCCGTGCAAAGATGCGGTCGGAAAGATATGCAAACAGACAGTCGAGCAGACACGAAAGGACACCCGAACTTTGGCAGTCAACACAATGCTGTTTTGCGATTTGTATCTCGAAGGTACGCAGTTTGTCTGAATCACTGGGTGGTGGCGCCTGCGCCAGCGGTGGTGAAGGCGGCTGCTCTCGCCTCTCGGTCTGGTGTGAGGTCTAGTATGGCTGATTCAGAGTGTGCATACCTCGATGCCTGAGCCTGTCTGTGCTCCCAGAGGCGGGTATGGACGCGGTAATGGCTCCTGTCTAGTTTGTGTGTCGGACGGTGGGCGGCGCCGGCCGGCTGCCGGTGTCTGTCGGTATTGGGGCCGCCGACCGGCCGACTACCGGTCCGTGTTTACGGACAGGGGCGGCGATCACACGGCTGACGTCCGGCTGCCGCTGCCGGGACCACCGGCGAAGTCCGAGTCCGACCGCCTGGTGAGCGGCGGCGATTTGCGATCCAGTACGGCACGGGACCGTGTGACTGGCGGCGGAAGGAATGCCGGGCTGAGGTGTTACAGGCAGAGACTGCGACCTGACCGCCGGAGTGCTGATCAGGCTTGTGATCGCACTTTGTGAGGGACTGCTCTGTCAGATTTTTTTTTGTGTGTTATGAAAATGAGCTGTTTCGGGACGCTGTTATCGTCTCTTTGAGCAGTAATTCGCGATTATGGCGCTCAGTTTCCGCGATGTTTCGATTCGTCCTTCGGCCGGCTCCCCCGCCTCCCACGCTCCGACACACAGCGCGTGGTACATCTCCCTGGTCCAGGGCCCAGGCCTCCTCCCTGGTCCCGGCCTCCCGGCCTCCTTCAGAACCACCAGCTGCAGAACGGAGGCTGGCGCTGCGTCCTCGGTCCTCATTTTGCAGGGTGAGGACTGCAGTTCGAGTCACCAGGGCCCTGGCGGCTTGACTACCGTGACCGGAGACAGACCGACACCTTGTCTGATGGGTGGGCTGCCAGGCTGTTACTGGGACAAAGCTAGAATCTCGGCCATACCGAACATACCAGCGTCTTCTCTCGTCGCAGCTGCGTCTGTCCCCACATGTCTGTTCGGCCTTCTGTCTCTGTCTCTCAGCCATGCTTAAATCTCGCTGTCCCTTTTCACCAAGGAAGGCATCTCTGTGGCTCCGACCAGGAACCCTTTGGCCTTTTCTATCTCGATTCGTCATCCCCGAGTATCTGTCGCCCCAGTATCCCAGCTGTTCCCGCCTGCCAGCCGTCCCGCCGCCCACTCCCAGTTTCCATCTCTACATGATCCGTCTCTGGCTCTGTCGGAGGCGGCGGTCCCACGCCCCGGTTCGCCCTGTCGCCTCCGTGGGTGCTGCGCTCGCCTCCTCACCTCAGCTCGTGACTCCGGCCCGGCCGCGGTAACGGGACCCGCCCAGCGCCGCGCGCGACAGGTGCGCCCGAGATGGATGGGCCCGGCGGCTATACCAGTGGCGTCACAGCTCTGACGTCACTGGGGCGGCGTGCCGTGTGCGCTGCCGTGTCCGGCGGGACGTTCGGCCGAGTCTGTGACGGCAGTGGATTGTCACGCCAGTCACTGGTGACAGGCGGTGGAATCGATGGCCCGCGCGGCGTCTTACTCGAGGTGGCGGAGCGGGCGGCTTGTGACGCTATAGTTAGTTTGTTTTTAGAAGACGAATGGTCCGGCTGGCTTTATCAGATTAAGCATTTGTGTGAAATGCCGAGTTAACCCGGCACCGCCTGGGCTATTTCCGTACCCACATCAGCCTGGGGGGGGGGGGGGTCGGATCCGACCCCCCCCCCCCTGTTATCTCGAGAACCAATGGTCGTATCGAGCCCCGCGAGGCGGCGTTCGAAAGGTCTCTACGAGACCTTCCCAAAGCACTCTTAAGATTTTAAGATTGAGGTCAACTTTCGGGTCAAGGTCAGGTCAAAGGTCAAATTCAGGGGTTTTGCATGATTAGGCTTACGGACAGCGGAATCGATAGCTGCTGCTCGAAACTCACCACAAATGACCTCAAAGACCTAGTGAAGGTACCATGTGCGTATAGGGGTCATACTAAGTACGGGTCAAGGTCAGGTCAGGTCACAAAAGGTCACGGTTTTCACTTTCTGCTACATGGGCGTGCGACACATGTTTTATGGCTTATTTTTGACGCCAAATCCGATGGTAATGGTTATATGTGACCCCAAGTCACTGCGCTGGTGATAAGTGTGCATTGAAAGCATAAAAAATCGTTTATACCATACATAACTAAACGAGGGCTAAGAAAAAAAGTCAATTTTTCAACTTTTTATTTTTGACATAAAAATGCACTTTTCTAGACCAGCTTTGTCCCAGGAATCTAGTGGTGCCATTTGTTTTCACAGGCGATGTTCAGAAGTGCCTCTAATTCGCGAAAATGCTGATGACGTCACCATGCCCTATGCATGTTGGAGCTATTTTTTACAATTTGGGGGTCAAAAATCAAGATAGAAAGTTGAAATTTGGGACATCTAATGTTCTAATAGAGCTCTATAACATATATTCCGGTTTTTTGGAAATTCTCAAAATTTTGGATTTTATTAGCTGTTTTCCAAAAAATATAGTTTTTTGAATTTTTAGGGGTGAAAAACGCATTTTATGGAAAATCCGAGATAGCCATTTTAAAGAACTCGTTGAGCTGCGTCTTTTCATGTCCTTAATTTGCAATTTGCTTAAAACCTCGATTTTTGGCGATTTTTTAAACATTTACCATTTTTTGACTGAAAACGCCATGTAGTTACATCATTAAAATCGATATATCTCAAAAATTTTTGAAATTTTTTTTCTTAAAAATTGCACAAGAGACGTCAAATTGATGGGGGAGAAGGTATGCGAAGTTTCAAGTTGATAGCGCAAGCGGTTCATGAGTTATTCAAGAAAAACGGAGGGGGGGGTCGGATCCGACCCCCCCAGGCGGTCGCGGGTTAACCCAGTTTACGTATCTGGGTTAGATTCCATTAGCTAACCTTACGATGAATGGAATTTCTTTTGTTTCTCACGCTTTTAATTGTGCATTTGATTGTGCCTACTGCTCGGATGCCTCGGCCAAGGTTTCAGCTCACTTCTGTTTATAGCAGGTCGGGCTTGTCTTGTCTAGCGATACAAATAAGCCCGAAACATTCCGACTGTGATATATTGCTCCACGCCTGCAGCTACCGTGTTTGCTTCTGTGGCTATCCTATGTGGTCCCTATTTTTATCATCAGTTTCTTCCTTTCGCCTCCAGAGGCACATGTCTATCATTACTGCCCACCATTTTACATCTCTGACACCGTCGCCCCTGTGTTTTCGCAGTGCGCGCCATCCAGGCCAAGAAGAAACGGCCAAAGCGGCCGACGGCAAAGATCAAGCAGCAGATCCAGTCACAGGCGACCGGCGACCGGGCCAACAACCAGCACAAGAACGGCGACAACAATAGGTGGGTCCCACTGTCTGTGACCGGCGCGAGGGCCGTGCGCCGTGGACGGGCGCTGGCTGTGTGTGGAAGGGAGCAGACTGCAGAGGATGCCGGGACTGGGCTCATAGCCTGCTGATTCCGCGGGACATTGGAGAGCGGTTAGGCAGACTGATGATCTATGCTGACGATTTTCCGTCGTGTATGTGTATCAAGGTTGCTGGGTCCTCTTTTAGGCAGGGCAATGACTGTCTGCAGATAAGTTTGTTTTTCTTGGCGACTGGAGATTTTGGGGGTAGGATCTCACGTTCGTAACTTTCCGCTGAGCGTTACGTTGGTATGACGCATCCCGTTTGCGTGACGTAATTTTCCATCACCTCGTGCCGTAAGCTGTGCTGAACACGATGTAAACCGGTCGCTGCGCATTTGCCAATGCGGAACTGGTAAACAGTGTATCAATACGGTGACCTTCGTCCCTAAATTAATGGGCCGGCGGGGCGGAAATTTACCGTTCTGTAATGGATTCCTTCTAGCCGTTTGTTGGCATTAGAGAATGCATGGACATTTACGTTGTAAATCACCTGGATGTAAATGTCTGACTTACTTATACGCTCGTAATTTAGTAGGTATTCCGTGCAGTCTCCTGCACAATTTCCGTGCAACTGTAGCGGTCGAATCTACAAGCTCTTCACTCTGTCAGTTCTAAAACGGGGCTCGTGGCCGTCTCCCCCCTCCCGTCCGGGCCACGCGTCGGTGGCATGTCCCGCGCCCATGTGCAGTGTTTGTGTCGGCCGGCCGGCCGACCGACCGGGCGCTACCGTGTCTCTGTGGCGCGGTGCAGCGACCCCGCCCGGTGCACTGCGCAGTGTGACCGAGCCCCGGCGGCCGGCGACCAGGGGCGTGGCGCGGCCGCCGAGACACGCCAGAGGTCGGCTGCGGGCGGGGAGGGGACGGAGCGACCGAGATAGGCGACTGGTGACCAGGAGAGGGTGTCCACGGTATATCGGAGGAATTGCTGTTGTTTGTATGGTGCGGCAGAGATGCGCCCGAGTTTTCCTCCAAAAGCTCGGCTCAGGGATACTCTTAAAAGATTATGTGCAAAATCGTGTTCATACTTACGCTTTTACCTCTGATGGAGTAGGTGATATTCTATTTCGCTTTCAATGCGCCACGCTCGGGTATAACAGTGCCGTATTTGCACGGCTGTTGGGTGCGCCGTTTCCTTCCCGGCCGGCCGGTACCGTCGCAGTTGACGCGGGGCGGGGCGGCCCCAATCCGTGTACCGGGCTCAGCTGCTGCAGTGAGCGCTGCAGCTGTTTATACGGTATCCGCCCTGTTCACAAGTGGCTGAGCGTTCTGCGGTACGGCCGCTTACATTTCCGCGATTCATTGTGTGCGTCTTGAACAAACACCGTGGTGAAGTCTGAACGTTGTCAGCTGTCGATCCATTTATTACGAGTTTTTAATTTCTTTGAAGGTTCACAATTGTCGCCATTGGTTATCACCATGACAAGATCCGGTAATAGGTTCGTGAAGCTGCCGTTTCCACGCTTCCCAGGACATTCTTTCTAGCCGTCGCGTCTTAGCCCTTTGTTTGTGTGATCGTACCGCGAAGAGGTTGTGTCTAATCTAGAATGAGTGCCAATTCAAGGGCCTGTACACTCCGCGCATTACACCGTTGTGCACTGTGCAGTGGCAATACCATAAGGTCGATTTTCCGGCCGTTGCGCGTGGCCGGTTGGACGTTACGGACGTCTGGCCGGTCACTGACGGCTCACCGGCTGGCTGGTGCCGGCCGGCCGGCCGCTGATTTGGTGGGGCCGGGGCGGCGCGGGGGAGGTGCCGATGGCCGGGGTGGGAACCGGGCCCGCCAGCGGCCGGCGGCGCCGCCCGGCCGGGGCAGACAACGTGTCTGTGCGCCCTTACTGTTGTACTGAAACCAGGCGAGGACACTGACGCTAAGGGTTCGGATTCAGCGGTGAAAATGTGCCAGCGAACGTGGATGTGTTCAGACTGTTCTGTTTTGGTCTGGTTTATCGGCTCGAGCTGTGCCGTTTTTGAGAGTTGATCGTCGCTCCGTGACTTATCCCGTCGGAACATTCTGTCTCCGCGCCGGACTGTGTTAGTTGCAACTCGACTTTGAACCCGTTGTAGGTATTATCGCGGTGCCAGTAAGACGTACCTACGGCTTGTGGTGGGCTTTTGACGGATCGGGACCGGATCGCGGTGACCGCAGCGGATAAGACCGAGTGTGCTGAGGTTTGCCAGCAGTGGTGCGCCGGCCTGCGACCCATATTCCGTGCCGCCGGTCCGGCTTGACCGATGTAATGCGGCGAGCCGCCTGTGCCGCGCGGCGCAGACCCCAGCCGAGCACAGCGTAAACGGCGGAAGTCCAGTTGAGACTGCGCGCAAATATTTAGCGCCGCCACGTTTGGACCGTGGCCGATACTATTTCTGGAGCCAAACAGAGGGCATTATCGGCCGGCCGATCGGCCGGGCCCGTGCTGCAGTGCCGGGGGTAACTCGCGTGCCGGCTGGTCTGAATGGGCGCGCTGCTGCGACGATGACCTCGGTACGACACCCACGGACCGCGGGTCGGCGCCCCGCCCCCGCCCAGAGTCGGAGGCGCCCTGCCATGCTCCTTCCTGCGCACAGCGCCGTCCGCCCGGTCAGGGAGGCGGCCGCTGCGGCCGGCGGGTGTCCGAGCCGCGCCCCTGGGCAGGGACACGGGTCGGGACAGCGCCAGGGAAGTGAAAGGAGCCACCAGCTGTGAGAAGGGTCCGAGGTGGCCGCACACATGGTTAGCTGGCTCCGAATCAGCTGTGATCTGAAACTGACAAACGCGTTCACCTCATCAGCATCTTCGCCAGTGACATAGGTATTTGCGCGTTGCCGCCTTTGTCATTGATTCAGAAAAGTCAACGTAGCTTCGGTGATCGTTGGCTTCAGCATTCCTCCTTGTTTGGCCCATCGCCCCACTAATCCGCCCTCGCAGAAGCCGGGATATTACCTCGGCGATGTGGTGGTCGGGGTCGTCACGAGTTTCCGGCCCCGTTCGTGACCGAGATACTCAGAGGCGGACAGTATATCGTGCTCGGAGCGGGGAGCCATTCGCTCCGAGGCCAGCCGCGGAGATGGAGCCGTGTGGCCGCTGAGAAGGAACCTTGCGGCCGCGGAGATGGAGCCGTGTGGCCGCGGAGATAGAGCCGCGGAGATGGAGCCGTGCGGCCGCGGAGATAGAGCCGTGTGTTCGCGGAGATAGAACCGTGCGGCCGTGGAGATAGAGCCGTGTGTCCGCGGAGATAGAGCCGGAGATGTAGCTGTGTGGCCGCGGAGATAGAGCCGCGGAGATGGAGCCGTGCGGCTGCGTGTGAGCGCCGAGCGGCGGACGGATGAGCGGCCGATATTGGCGCTTCATTAGCGTCTGCGCTGACGCCGCCGGCTATCGGTCGCTGACCTCCCTGCGTGACGGGCGGTACGGAGATGGCGGCAGCTTACTGAACACCTGACTGGCGTTACCCTGGTGAAGACAACTGGGGAGGGAGAACTGGAGGCTCGACCGAGTCCGTCCCAGCAGCCGACCCAGCTCCGGGTCTGGCCGGCCGGCCGCCGGCCCGCAGCTCCGCTCCGGCCGGGACCGCCGGCTGCGAGCGGCTCACACAGCCTCGAAACGCTCCACATTCCAGCCCCGCCCCGGCCCGTCCCGGCCCGCCCTGCCGTCTGGCCGTCTGGGCTGGAGCCGGGCAGCCGCCGCGCCGTTCCGGACGGCCTCACACTGGAACTAGCGCAACACAGATAGTCCCAGATTGGAGATCATGTGTTCATAAGACGCACGTAGGTTTTGATTGGCATTCGATGAAGCTGCGCTGGTCGTCAGAAGCTGTTATTTCCAGCGATATTGTCGGCTGCCGGCGCAGTGACACGCCGGGTGTCTGTTTGACGGCCCCGCGACCCGCGGAGCTGGACCGACTCCGGTCAGCGCCGCCGACTGCGATATTACGCCAACCAGCTGCAGGCGCGGCGCATACGACCGACGCGTGACGGCGGGGCGGCCGCCGCCGGTGCCAAACTTGCCCCGAGTTGGCGCGGGTTGGACCCTGTGCCGCGCCGCGCGCTGGATCACCTGCTCATCACGTACTGAGCGGTCGTCTGACTGTGCGCCGCAGCTCCTGCCATTCCGGGCGCACCGTCACATCTGCCCGACCTGTGTCGGCACCCGTACCGGCTGGATCGGCGCTGCGATGGACGGCGATGGTGTTTGCTGAGCCCCTGACGTATGCAGGTCACCCCCTGATGACGGCGGCGGCGACGTTTGCCGAACGGCCGCTGGTGTGCGAAGGTCGACTGATCGGCCGGCGTGTCGCTCGTTATCCGCCGTGCCGACGGTCAAAAGTCGGTGCTCATTATTACCCGGATCTGGGCGAGTCTGTACCCACCGGTTCCCCGCTGTGGCGGCAGCGTACACACACACGCGCTGTGTCCGCTGATTAAGGTTGACCGCATTGTTTCTCTATGTGAACATTGTCCCTGTGATCGCATTGTTTCTGTTGGCGGAAATATTTCCCGGCGTTTGTTTGTTCGACTGTGGGTGATTATCGATTGAGCACTTCAGTTTTGTGGATAAATGAGGGATTAACTTTTAATTCTCCCAGTATATTGATGTGTTTCATCATTGCTTAGCTAAATTCGCTTCCGATGTAGCAATTGGTCGGCTGTTTTTTTAACACCTCCAAATGCTAGATCATGCTGCCATTGAGGTTTGTCCTCCAGCCTCGTTTCAATGTCGATGTTCGTGTGCTTTTTCAGATGCCGCACTATTTGGACCCCGTATTCATGGTGTGTGGTTTGGTATTCAGACACGTCTGTGATCCATTACAGGTCGTGCGGCGTATGAATGATGAAATGATGCAACTAACCAAATTATGCTAATGCAAAAGTGAGTTTGTTTTCGGACTGCTACCATCCATCTACGTCATTGAATGTCCTCAATGGCGTACCTTCGGTTTCGTTATTGCATCATGTTG